TTTTTTAATTGTTGCTCATTTGAAAAAAAAAAAAACTAATTTTTCTATATATCGCATAGAGTTTAATGCATTTTTCTGCCAATTAATTTGATGGAATATATTTTTTTGTTCAATGCATTTTCCAGCTAATTTACTTAATCAGCTTGGTTTTTCGGCTGTCACATTTTAAAAACATTTTAAAAAAAAACTATGTATATAAAAAATCTAAAGACAATATAATGTAAGTAGGTTTTCTAGAAACAAATATCGCTCAAGTTGATGGGTTAAGTATAGTGCATTATATAGCCACACACTTAATGTGTAGAATATTATATACTCACTCTTGTCATATTTTACTCAAAGTTTAAAGTTCTCATGAACGTCAGGGAAATACTTTTCCTCTCTTAAAAGTAATCAGCTTAAATGCTACGTTCAATTTCTTTACTCTGTAAGACTCAATTCGAACAGGTACATACATGCACAAAATATGCATGCCAAATTGAGCAATTGCATGTTTGAGAGCCAGAGTGGAGCAGAGCAGACATACATATAGAGTATATATTATATACTCATTTATTACAAAGAAATAATAATGATGTCCGCCCTTACATTATTTACACATATGTATGTATGTATGTACCTATGCTATGTGGGCACATCGTCGCTCAAGCAAGACATCTGGGCAGCCGATGGCTGATGACTGACGGCGACCTTGACCAACTTGCCAATAAGTAAAATTCAAGTGAAAACCGCAAAAGGTCACGCACACGACGCTGAAATAATTATGCAAAGGGCGCCTCTAATTGCGTAGCTGTCGACTGACTAATTGAAAAGTGGTAAGCAAATTGTGGAAATAATTGCGTATACGCTGTGTAGACAACATCATTTCCAAAGAACCGTGTGCGTGTGTGTGTGTGTGTGCGATGAATGCATTTATGTTGTTTCAGTAACAAAGCTAATCAACAGCAATATCGTTGCTACAAATGTGAATCGAGCATTTATCATTCATTGGGCAACAACAAACAATTGTTGTCAACGGCAAAACCACTGAACTGTTAAAAGTGCCATTGAATACAACAACAAAGCAATTACAACAACAACAACAATGTCAACGATGCTGGAACCCAACTGCGCAAACACTCAAAAGATACACAAAAAGTAAACGACATGCATGGCTAGATGCGCTGGCTAGAGACATAGATATGCATGTACATACATTGATATGTAGATGTAGATGTATTTGTAGATACATTGGCAGCCAGGTAGGCAGCACTGCCTGTACACCGAGCTACGCACTGGGCCACGCCCTGCGCTGCGGCGTGTGCGTTAAATTGTTTTGTTTATTGCACATTGTCAGCGAGAGCCGGCGAGCAATTCGGCTCGACGACTCGCTTCGGATACGGCGGAGCAGCGATCTAATCAGCAGCAGTCGACGTTGACATGAAATTTCTCATACGCTCGGTTAGCCGCGACGTCGACGCTCGATCGAAGCATTCATATCACTTGCACACACATACTCAGACATCTGTGTGTGCGTGTGTGCGTTAGATCTACCTGGCTGGGAAGCACTCGACTCGGCTTCAGTCGCAGTCGCAGCCTCACCGTCAGCCTTTGCTATTTGCAAGTCGAAAGTCGCGCTCGTCAGACGTGCACAACAACAACAAAAATAATAATAATAAAAATAATAAAAGTACAACAAAACGCGTACAAAGTGCATTTGGCTAATGGACGTTTGAAAAAAAAAAATCGCACTGCCAATGGCAATATTATAAATAAAAATTGTATTTCTTTTGCATGATAAAATACATTTATTTGTATAAATATTGAAACATAGCTCGTGCAATCCGGCCTTAATTCGGCTAATTGATAGATTCAGGGCAAAGTGTCCGACTCCTATTTAATTTGCATATGGCCTCTGGGCCGCTGTAACGTGCGAACAAACAAAATCGAAAGTGTTAAATAGTGTAAAACATTACCATGAATTGATAGCTGGGCCAATTGGCAAAAAGCCCGGACTACATTCTGTATTGTGGCCGCAGATCAATTTCGGAATAATTCAAAAACTCAAACTCAAAACCCCATCAATAATAATTTGCAATGCAATAACATCAGCAAACAAAACAAAACACAACACAAAAACAACAACAACAGCAACAACAAAAACAATGCCTAAGCCAGATGGTGAATCGCAATGGACATGCAAATTGCTATTGAAAATATTATTATCATTGATGCTGCAACAATACACAAGTGGTAAGCTCAACATTTGAACATGCTTATGGACACCTTTGTGCCTGCCCTATTCCTAATCACCAGTAATATTCACGAGTAGGCTTAAAAGTCTGTACCCTATGTATCCAAATATGAATAGCTTAATGTTTAATAGGCCAATTCGTTTAGACTTGTACGATATTACGAATTAAGCTCAAGTATTTAAGGTTTTATTATAATACAAATTGAAACAAAATTGTCATACGAACCAATTTATTGATTATTTGTTATTATTATTTATTTATAGCAGAATTCTGGAATTCTAAGATAAGCTTTTAGCTGATTTTAGTTTAGAAATAAATATGTTTCAGCATTTTTTGATAGATTTTAAGGATTTCTGTTCAGTGTGGGTACTCGACCCCCAATGAAGTTTTGAAGTACAGAGTATTTCCAAGTCGAGCAAATACAAATTATTATATTTTATAAGCCGTACATATTTATATATTTCAATAACAAAACTTGCGTAAATTAGTAAAAATAACTGAAAATTTAATAAAAGCATATGAATTACATAAAATATACAGATATAAAAAATTGTTTAAATAATAAATATTCTAAAACCGGAATATGGAATAAATCGAATTCAGAATTACAGAATTAAATAGAAATTGTATAAATTAAATGCATTTAAAATAAAATAAAAAACCAACTAAATTTATAGCTTGAAATAGTTAAATTCTAGTCATAAGTACTCATATATTATTATTATTTTACATATATTAAGATATTTTTTATCAACTACTCTGGGCAGGTGCTGACGTGATGCGTCAATTAAAATATTTTTGCACTTGGAATTTGCATTGCATATTTAACTCTGAAGCTGATTGTGTTTGAGCTGAAAACCAAAAGAGCAGCTATCAATTTACGAGAGGGTGCCAGAAAGAGAGGCAGCGCTTGAGAGCGAGAGGCGAAGAGCTGTGCGGCTTTTCAGTTTTGCCTGAGAGCGATTCTGATGCTCCCCAACTCTGAGTGTTAGATATACTCAAGTTTAACTATTGTTCGTCCGCTTACATAAACAATTGACTAGAGATGTAAACTGATGATTTAATTGTTGAATAAAAATACATTTTAAATATTTCCTGAAAATCAAGGTGAAGATTAAAGGGAAAAGGGCAAAAATTCAAAGCCAAACTTTTTGATTGAATAATAAAATAAATATGGAAATATAACTTTGAATTTATTTATATATCTTTGATTTGTAATTAAGTCGAATTAGTAGGCAAAATTAAGCTTATTTTAGCATATGATACAAAAGATTATATCTCAGTTAAGTCACCATTTCGTTCGCAGGTTAACAGTTCATCATTTAATAAAAAACAAATAAAAAAAAAAAAGTTTTATATATGATTTTTTTTTTTT